TTACAATATTGTAGTGGTTTTCGCCATACATTGACATGAATCAGCCATGGGTGTACATGTGTTCCCCATCCTGAACCCCCCTCCCACTTCCCTCCCCATCCCCTCCCTCAGGGTCATCCCAGTGCACCAGCCCTGAGCACCCTGTCTCATGCATCAAACCTGGACTGGCGATCTGTTTTACATATGATAATATACATGTTTCAGTGCTATTCTCTCAAATCATTCCACCCTCGCCTTCTCCCACAGAGTCCAAAAGACTGTTCTATACATCTGTGTCTCTTTTGCTGTCTCGCATATAGGGTCATCATTACCATCTTTCTAAATTCCATATATATGCATTAGTATACTGTATTGGTGTTTTACTTTCTGACTTACTTCACTCTGTATAATAGGCTCCAGTTTCATTCACCTCATTAGAACTGATTCAAATGTATTCTTTTTAATGACTGAGTAGTATTCCATTGTGTATATGTACCACAGCTTTCTTATCCATTCGTCTGCTGATGGGCATCTAGGTTGCTTCCATATCCTGGCTATTATAAACAGTGCTGTGATGAACATTGGGGTACACGTGTCTCTTTCAATTCTGGTTTCCTCAGTGTGTATGCCCAGCAGTGGGGTTGCTGGGTCATATGGCAGTTCTATTTCTAGTTTTTTAAAGGAATCTCCACACTGTTCTCCATAGTGGCTGTACTAGTTTGCGTTCCCACCAACAGTGTAGGAGCGTTCTCTTTTCTACACACCCTCTCCAGCACTTATTGTTTGTAGACTTTTGGATAGCAGCCTTTCTGACTGGTATGAGATGGTACCTTACTGCAGTTTTGATTTGCATTTCTCTGATAATGAGTGATATTGAGCATCTTTTCATGTGTTTAGCCATCTGTATGTCTTCTTTGGAGAAATGTCTGTTCAGTTCTTTGGCCCATTTTTTGATTGGGTGATTTATTTTTCTGGTATTGAGCTGTATGAGCTACTTGCATATTTTTGAGATTCTTTGTCAGTTGCTTCATTTGCTATTATTTTCTCCCATTATGAAGGCTGTCTTTTCACTTTGCTTATAGCTTCTTTCATTATGCAAAAGCTTTTAAGTTTAATTAGGTCCCATTTGTTTATTTTTGCTTTTATTCCCATTACTCTGGGAGGTGGGTCATAGAGGATCCTGCTGTGATTTATGTCAGAGAGTGTTTTGCCTATGTTTTCCTCTAGGGTTTTTATATTTTCTGGTCTTACATTAAATCTTTAATTCGTTTTGAGTTTATTTTTGTGTATGGTGTTAAAAAGTGTTCTAGTTTCATTCTTTTACAAGTGGTTGACCAGTTTTCCCAGCACCACTTGTTAAAGAGATTGTCTTTTCTCCATTGTATATTCTTGCCTCCTTTATCAAAGATAAGGTGTCCATAGGTGCATGGGTTTATCTCTGGGTTTTCTGTTTTGTTCCATTAATCTATATTTCTGTCTTTGTGCCAGTACCATACTGTCTTGATGACTGTAGCTTTGTAGTATAGTCTGAAGTCAGGCAGGTTGATTCCTCCAGTTCCTTTATTCTTTCTCAAGATTGCTTTGGCTCTTTGAGTTTTTTTGTATTTCCATACACATTGTGAAATTATTTATTCTAGTTCTGTGAAAAATACCTTTGGTAGCTTGATAGGGATTGCATTGAATCTAAAAATTGCTTTGGGTAGTATGCTCATTTTTGCTATATTGGTTCTTCCAATCTATGAACATGGTATATTTCTCCATCTCTTTGCATGATCTTTGATGTCTTTCATCAGTGTTTCATAGTTTTCTATTTATGGGTCTTTTGTTTCTTTCAGTAGATTTATTCCTGAGTAGTTTATTCTTTTCATTGCAGTGGTGGGTGGGATTTTTCCTTAATTTCTCTTTCTGTTTTCTCATTGGGGATAAAGTGTCTTGGTGTCTTAGCTATGTCTTTATTTTATCCCCTTTAAGGATAAGTTTGTGTGTGTGTGTGTGTGTGTGTGTGTAGAATTTTATGTTAGCAGCTCCTTTTTTATCTTCTGTACTTTTAAGGTTTTGTTTTATTGTCTTCTGGTGTCTGTTGCTTGGTATTTATATCACCCATACTTCTGTTGTTTCCTTCAGTGATATGATGTGCTCCCCGCCCCCCAACCCCAGTTGATTTTCTTTAATATTTGTGTGAGTTTCTGCTGCTGTGTAAAAGTGTTAGTTGCTCAGTCAGGTCCAACTCTTTGAGACCCCATGGACTATAGCCCACCGGGCTCCACTCTCCATGGAATTCTCCAGGCAAGAATACTGGAGTGGGTGGCCATTCCCTTCTCTGGGGGAATTTCTCTGACCCAGGGATTGAACCTGGGTCTCCTGCATTGCAGGTAGATTCTTAACTGTCTGAGCCACCAGGGGAGCCCAAGTTACCACAATTTAATGGGTTAAGACAATGCAAATATTTCAGAATTTTGTGAGTCATGTAGTGTATGGATGGTGCAGCCCTCAGGATTTTTAGTGTTTAAATCAAGGCCTTGGTGAGAACTATAAGCTTTTCTGAGCTCGAAGTCTTACTCCAGCCTCGTAGGTTGTTGCCAGAATTTAGTTCATTATGTGTGTAGGGCTTAGGTGCCCAGTTTCTTACGGACAGGGAACAACTCAACTTGAGTCTGACCATAATCCTTGACATTTAGACTTCTGCATATTCATGTCAGCAATTGAAAGTTTGATGTCAAATGATTTGGAGCCTTAATTACATCTGTATAATTCCTTCCAAGTAATAAAGTAATATTTGAATTGGTGTTTGATTGAATAACTAGGATAAGGTGTTCGTCCACTAGTAACCAAAAACTTTGGGTTATAATTAGAATTCTAATTACAAAATTTTTGTCTTCATCTTTGATTTGCAGCAGTTATAACTATGATGTACTATGTGTAATTTTCTTTGTATTTATACTATATTCAACTCACTGAGCTGTTTGAATTGTGAACTCGTGTGTTTTATGAATTTTAGAAATTTCTCCTCTAACACTCTGCTAACTCCTCCAGCATGCTTCTTCCCTATTTTGATTCCCCATTCACTTGGGAATATTATCAAACATATATTAGACAATTTGAAGTTGTACACATGCCTAATTTATTCTAGCATATCTTCAAGTTTATCTGTTTTTCTTAGTCCTTTCAATTAATCCTTAATTTCAGACATTTTATCTAGTAATACTGGAATGATTATTTATATTATTTGCATTTAGCTTGAATAATCAATGTTTTACACATTTCTCCATTTTGTCTAATTCTTTATTGAATTCTTTAACATATTTTAAATAGTTATTTTATTTTAATATCTTTTTGCTACTGTTGTTGATTTCAAGATCAGAGTTGTGTGTGGGTTTGCTTTACTGCATTTTGTGGGTGTGGGTGTGCATGTGTGTGTACTAGACATTCTGTACTAGACAAAGGAATCTTGGAAAATAAAATAATTTTTATTTTTTACTAAGAAAAGTCATACCCTTACCTATACTTTGCAGCAAGTATGAGGACTAATTACTTCAAACCAATCAAGAGTTGATCTGAGTTGAGAATGTAGCGTCATTAATTAGCTTCAATTAACAGCTGATTTTCACAATTTTGAGATTAATCTTTGTCCCATGTGCTTGGAGGACACCTTATTCCCAATGGAAGTGTGGCATATAGTCACCAGAAACATTGGGCAGTATTTCTGGTTTTAGCCTGCTTACCAGTCTCCCTGACCATGACAGCCATAAGACAAAAATCATCAACCAAGGTAAGCTCTTCTCACCGGAACACGTTCGTATCTCAGACAGGTGCATAGATCCATATCCTTACTGAGTCTCTTCCATTAGCAAAAGAGCTTAGGTTTTGAAATACAGGCAGTAGTAAGAAATTAAATTTTTTTTTCAATTTCCTGATAGCATATTACCACATTTATACGTTAAGAGAAAAAGAGCTAGCCGTGGGGAGGTGGGCAAGGCCAATAAGGTTCCATGTAAGGTAGAGAAGATGGGGAAGAAAGAGTGTACAAAATTAGACTGATATTTCAAAATGTTGACTTTTTCATTATGCTGTTCCACACGTTCGATTGTGCATATTTAACTTATTTACAGTCTTCTTAGCCTCTTCCATCTGTGTGGTTCTTATTCCTCAGTTGTTTTAAAATAATGATCTCAATTACTTTCAGTCTGGTGCTTAGATAGAAAATAAAGCAGGCTTCTAGTAAGAAATTATGGTATGGAGTTAGTATAGCAATTACAATAAGAGTAATAAGTTCTGTTGCAAAATAAATGGAGAAACAGGAGAGACACCAAATAAATTATCCTATGAAAAAACTCCCCAAAAAACAGTCTTAAGAAAAATGGAAATCAGAAAGATAATTTGTAAGAGCTCCACAAAGGAATGAAAGTTCTAAGTTTTTCTCAAATTTCTTACCATTTCACCCAATACTGAGTTTATCATATATAAGACACAGGATAAACATTTGTTCATGAATACTTACTTTTTGCATGATCATCCAAATATATAGATTGAAAATCTGTACTATTAATGTAAGTGAATACTTCAGAAATATTTCTGGACTGACTGAATAAATTCTGGAACTTGTTTAGAAATACCAGGTTTTAATCTTCTGGTTTAAAACAGAGTTGACCAAGATGGATTTTAATTTTGTAATAGCCTATGATGAAAGCCTATGATGAAAGATTCACCCTTAGCCTTGAGGGTGACTTAAAAATACTTGACAGGCTTTTGTAACAGCTCATTACAGTACTTTTTGCAAAATATTGATAGGAGAAACAGACATCATGATTTATCTTGTGCTCTGCTTAGACGCATAATCAGATCTGTGCTGAGTCAATGATGGTGTCACTAGGTAAAAGAGTTTTTGTCACCATTTAAAGTTATTTTCTATTCTGTCTGCATATTTGATGAGATATTGTGATCTGTCTTTCAAATAGAACATTTAACACTTGAACTAGTTACAACAGTAACTATTAATTTTAAAACTGAATATTAGATCAATAATGCTAACATGGTCAACATACTTGAAAGATTCTGCTATCTACCTTTGTCCCACTACTGAGGATTTTAGTATATGTAGGATGACATTATATCATCACTACACAGAGGTTGTGAAAAGAATATCATGGGTTAAAAAACTCTGTGCTTTGGACGGACTTGTATCCTCTTTATTTATTATATTTATACACCAATACCAGAAAACGCTGAAGAACAATGGAAGGTAAGGATAGTGGGTACTGCTATAAAAATGACTTCACTAATGGTAAGTCTTTTTCCAGGAAATTGGAATGCCTGTTATAAGAACATGCAAACTTTCTTTCAGTTAGCATTTAGAAAGAGACTTCAGTTTTCTTTTAGGATAAATCAGCCAAATATCATTAATCTGTTTACTTTAATAAATCAGTATCAAACCTATTTGAATCTGTATAAAACATGGGGAGATAAAATTCTGTTGATAAGATAAATACCAAATATATGGGGACAAGAAAGAAATGTTACTGTTTAAGTGGAAATGGGATTTTAAAGCTACTTATATATGAATCTCTGAAAACCTAGTCTTACACAATTTCTTAAAATTTACATATGTACATTGATTATGTTTTTATATTTTGATGTGTATTTAGTACTTGTGCTGTTTTAGAGTCTGTCTCTTTCTTAGTGGTTTTCAAAGTTTTTGGTCTTAGGAACTCTATAAGTTATTATTTTTGAACTTAAGTTATTGAGACTCAAAGAGTTTTTCCATAAGGGTTATGTTTATTAATATTTTCTTCATTAAGAACTGACTTCATCAGAAACCAATGTACTTGATATTGATGATGATAATAATAAATCTATTAGAAATTAAAATAAATAAGTGGTTTTCCATTTTTATAAATCTTGTTAATGTCTTAGACTATGGAAGATATTGATTCTTTATCTGCTTTTGCATTTAATCTATTGCAATATCAGGTGTCGTGTAGCTTCTGGAAAACTCCACTGAATACTTATGAGGAAATTCAACTTTAAAAAAACATAGGAATTGTCACAGTATTATGCACATTCCCTGAATACCTCTCAGAGACCCACAAGAATTCCAAGACCGTATTTTGAAAATCACTGCTTTTGTCTACCTTCAATCCTAAATTATTGGATTTTAGATTTTTTGTGACAATGCCAGAATTTGCACTAAGATCTACCTCACTGAAAATATCATGCTATCCTGTCAAAACATGCTGCTACCTGGAGGCCTTATGGATGACATAGATCATAGAAAGTTTGAGGGAGAGTGCATCAACGGAAAATAAGTGATCAAAGAACAGAGAGCAGTGCACAGTATCTGGGGAGCAGCTGTCTCATGTGCTAGACAGTTGAGATGACAGAAGAGATGACAACTCTGTCAAACTAGATACCCAAGGTATCTAATATATCTATATACCTAAGGTGTATAATACCCCCTTCCCAAAGTCCAAAGTAGGTTGAATCACCTGTTGCCCTCAGTGTTCCCTTTTATGGTGAATTCTTCACCTTTTCATTCAGTGGATTTTAGAGAAAAAATGAGCAAGTGCTAGCCCTACAGAGAAGTTGCCATGTTATCTTATCAACAGCTCATATATCCTTTCACTTATGCACATTTACTAATGTGCCTCATCAAAATCAGTACATTCTTAAAACATGCAACTGTAGAATTCAACTTTTAGTTTGCCAAATGCAAAACATAAATTAAGGTTTTGCACATGTAAAATAGAACTGACTTTACACATTTGCTTATATATGCATTATATATTTGTGTGTGAATTGCACTAGTAATTGATCAGTTTCTGCTTATTTGGGTGAAAATCACTTTATTATGGGCTTCCCAGCTGGCACACTGGTAAAGCATCTGCCTACTAATGCAGGAGACTCAAGAAACATGGGTTCAGTCCCTGGGTTGGGAAAATTCTCTGGAGTAGGAAATGGCAACCTGCCCCAGTATTCTCACCTGGAAAAGTCCATTGACAGGGGAGCCTGGTGGGCTACAGTCCATGGGGTTGCAAAGAGTCAGACATGATTGTGCACATCATTTTGTTACTGTTGTCAGTGAATTTTACAACATATGCCAAGAAAGCAAACATCACAGATTTTCATGAAACCCTGTGGAAAAATTTAAGACTATAGAGTTACTCATTCATAATAATTGGCAGCATAAAGTTGGAGAAAGAGCATGAACTTAAAGTCCAGTTAGATCTTAAAGGAGTCTACTTCATCCTTTTCTGGCTCAGTTTCTTCAACAGCAAACTGAGAAGTCTAAGCACATCGCAGCATCACTCTGAGGATAGTAGACAGGATGTCATGATGTCTGGAATGGTAGCTGGTGTTTGCTCAATAGCGATCTAATCAGTGTCCACTCCATGATAGAAGTTATGAGAGATGCGCGGCCAAAAGTCTAAAAAACATTGATTTTAAAGTGATACAGCTGTTGAATTGAAATTACTTACACTATGACTTTTTTTCACTCAGCTAAGAAAATATTTAAGAATATTTTCCACATATATTTTTGATGAGAAAAGCTAAAATTTATTGAGTTCTTACGATGTGCTCTCCCTAGTTTAATTTCCTCAAATGTATCACTTAATACTTACAACTGTGCTTTGAAAAAGTCACTTTTGTTACCCTTAATTTACACATGACGAAAATAAGTTACAGGGGATAAGCTAACCAAAGGCAGACAGTTAATAAATTTTAGAAATGGGAGTCAAACCCAGCCTATGTTCAGACTAAATTTTTTTATAATTTTGCCAAATTTTATATTTAACTGTGCATACAGTTAAAATTCATTCTTTTGGTTATATAGTCCTATGTAGTTTAATATGGGTAGAGGTTCATGAAACTACCACCATAATCAAGATGTGAAAATATTACCCCTCAAACTCACTTTTGCTGCCCTGTTTATCATGGTAAACACTTCCCCACCCTAAATTCCTGGTAATAATGGATCACTGTAATGTCTGCATAGTTTTCCCTTTTCATAATATTGTATGAATGGTTCATACTGCATTTGGATTTTGAGTCCAGCTTAATGCATTTCACTAAGCACACTGCATTTGAGAATAAACCATGCTGTATCTCAAGTTAAATCCCTTCCAAAGCTGTGTAGTATTCAGTTACATGTATGTGTCACAGTTTGCCCACAATAAACAGTTGAAAAATATTTGGATTCTTCCCACTTTAGCGTGAATATGGATAAAGCTGCTAAAGCACTCATATAGAGGCTTTTTCATAGACAAAATTTTAATTTCTGTTGAGTACCTAAAACTAGATGCACTAGGTTATTATAAATGTATACTTTATATACTTTAAATGTATAGGAAACTGTCAAATTGTTTTCCAAATAGGCTGTACCATTTTGCATTCAGTCCAGAAGTACAGGAAAGTTTTAACTGTACTGTGCCCTTACTAACATTTAATATTTTCAGTTTTTCTTTAAAAACATGCTAATAAATTTGTAGAAACATCTGATTGTGGTATTCATTTGAATTTCCTTAATGATCACAGGTATTGCATTATCTTTGCATGCGTTTATTTGCTATTACATGTTTTTGTGTGTGTGAGGTGACAGGTATGTTTAACCTTTTCTCTATTTTGTTGCAGCCAAAATCTTGTCCGTCTCTGCCCACTGAAGCTGAATGAAAAGTATGGAGACAGAGTTTGGAGGAAATTGAAAGTTGGCTTGAATATTCAACAGGATGAGGGGAGAACACTGTAGGCTCATGCCTCAAGAACTGTGCCCCCTTTTCCGCGAATAAAGAGTTTATGCTGTGTTCTGCTGCACTTAGTCGCTCAGTCATGTCCAACTCTTTGTGAGCCCATGGACGGTAGCCCACCTGGCTCCTCTGTCCATGGGATTCTCCAGGCAATAATACTGGAGTTGGTGGCCATGCCCTTCTCCTGGGGATCTTCGCAACCTAAGAATCGAACACAGGTCTCCTCCATTGCAGCCAGATTCTTTACCATCTGAGCCACCAGGGAAGCCCATGAATACTGGAGTGGGTAGTCTATCCCCTTTCCAGGGGATCTTCTCAGCTCAGGAATTGAACCAGGGTCTCTTGCTTTGAAGGAAAATTATTTACCAGCTGAGCTACCAGGGAAGTCCTAGGGTCTATATAAGATGAGGGCTTACAGTCCGGGGTAGGTGATGAGGAACAAAGGTATAAGAATCTTATATTCTTCCTCTTGTTTCCTTTCAAAAACAGTCATAGGCTGACATCAGGTAGTTGGGTAATTGGGTCTAGCAGTCCAGTACCCCTGTTGCTGTCCTTCAGTCACTAGGCCATGTCCAACTCTTTGTGACCCCATGGATTGCAGCACGCCAGGCTTCCCTGTCTTTCACTATCTCCTGGAGCTTGCTCAAACTCATGTCCCATTGAGTCAGTGATGCCATCCAGCCATCTTATCCTCTGTCATCCCCTTCTCCTCCTGCCCTCAATCTTTCCCAGCATGAAGGTCTTTCCCAATGAATCAGCTCTTCTCATCAGGTGGCCAGAGTATTGGAGTTTCAGCTTCAGCATCAGTTCTTCCAATGAACATTCAAGGTTGAGTTCCTTTAGGATAGACAAGTGTGATCTCCTTGCTGTCCAAAGGAGGCTCAAGAGTCTTCTCCAGCACCACAATTTGAAAGCATCGGTTCTTCGGTGCTCAGACTTTTTATGGTCCAACTCTCACATCCATACAGGGCTACTGGAAAAACCATAGTTTTGACTGTACAAACCTTTGTTGGCAAAGCTGCAGTCACTATCCACAGTGATTTAAGAGCCAAAGAAAAAAAATTGTCACTGCTTCTACTCCCCCCTCCCTTTTGCCATGAAGTTATGGGTCACAAAGAGTCAGACATGACTGAGAGACTGACCTGAACTGGACTGATGGGACCAGATGCCATGATCTTTGTTTTTTGAATGTTGAGTCTTTTCAGTTTCAAAAAGAAATGGTCAAATTCTTTCAGGTTTTCTACTTTTAAACTCAGCAAGCATCTTTTAATTTTATGGCTGAAGTCACCATCTGCAGTGATTTTGGAACCCAAAACAGTTTTTGATATTTCTCCCAGCAATCTTGATTCCAGCTTATTCTTCATCCAGCCTGGAATTTCTCATGATGTACTCTGCATATAAGTTAAATAAGCAGGGTGACAATATACAGCCATGACATACTCCTTTCCCGATTTGGAACCAGTCTGTTAACCCCTGAAAAAGCATTCAGAGTTGGGGGCAGAAAAGCAAACTTAGTCACAGACTGCAGATTAGAAACAGTTAAAGTAAAAACCAGGAGTGATCAGTTCTGCTCACTGTTCTTTCCATCTTCTTTGTTCTCTGGAAAGCAAAGAAAAACTCATTTCTTCTTCTTTTTTTCCCTTTTCACTGCAACAACTTGAAAATATTGGTTTTTTTTTGTTGTTTGTTTGTTTGTTTGTTTTGCTTGTTGATTATTCTAAGTTCTTCCTACCTGAGATGCCAATCATTTAGCAGATACTTAATTTGAAAGTATTTTCTCCCAGTCTGGGCTTCTCTTTTTGTTTTCTTAAGTTACAGAGCAAAAACTCTTATATTTTGTTGAAGTCCAGTTTATTCTTTAAAAAATAAAAGTTTTTCTTTTTTGATATACTATCTAGGAACTTTTAATCTATCACAAGATTTTTTCCTATGATGTCTTCTAATCTAAGGGGTTTGTAGTTTTACATTTTCCATTTAGGTATTGGATCCATTATTGAGTTAATTTCTATATAAGGTGTCTGACTCTTTGCAAACTCATTGACTATACAGCCCACAGAATTCTCCATGCCAGAATACTGGAGTGGGTAACTGTACCCTTCTTCAGGGAATCTTCCCAACCCAGGGATTGAACCTAGGTTTCCCACATTGCAGGTGAATTCTTTACCAGCTGAGTCACCAGGGAAGCCCATGATATGGGAACAGGTAGCCTATCCCTTCTCCAGGGGATCTTCCCAACCCTGTAATTAAACTGAGGTGTCCTGCATTACAGGCATATTCTTTACCAGCTGAGCTAGGCTTAAAGCTTAACATTCAGAAAACTAAGATCATGGCATCCAGTCCCATCACTTCATGGCAAATAGATGGGAGACAGTGGAAACACTGTCAGACTTTATTTTTTGGGGCTCCAAAATCACTGCAGATGGTGACTGCAGCCATGAAATTAAAAGATGCTTACTCCTTGGAAGGAAAGTTATGACCAATCTAGATAGCATATTAAAAAGCAGAGACATTGCTTTGCCAACAAGTGTCCGTCTGGTCAAGGCTATGGTTTTTCCAGTGGTCATGTATGGATTTGAGAGTTGGACTGTCAAGAAAGCTGAGCGCCAAAGAATTGATGCTTTTGAACTGTGGTGTTGGAGAAGACTCCTGAGAGTCCCTTGGACTGCGAGGAGATCCAACCAGTCCATCCTGAAGGAGATAAGTCCTGAGTGTTCATTGGAAGGATTGATGCTGAAGCTGAAACTCCAATACTTTGGCCACCTCATGCAAAGAGTTGACTCATTGGAAAAGACCCTGATGCTGGGAGGGATTGGGGGAAGGAGGAGAAGGGGATGACAGAGGATGAGATGGCTGGATGGCATCACCGACTCAATGGACATAGGTTTGTGTAAACTCCGGGAATTGGTGATGGACAGGGAGGCCTGTCCATCGCGTGCTGCGATTCATGGGTCGCAAAGAGTCAGACACAACTGAGCGACTGAACTGAACTGAACCAGGGAAGCCCAATTTTTATATAAGGTGTGAGGAATGAGTCCAGGGAAATGTTTTTTGCATATTCATGTCCAATTGCTTCAACACTATTATTGAACCACTTACTCCATTGCATTGCCTTGTATCTGTGTCAAAAGTAAATTGGACGTATTTGTATTAGTTTATTTCTGAACTGACTCCTTTCTCTTCCCTTGATGTGTGAGTCCATCCTTTCACCAGTACTCCCCTATATTTATTACTCTAGCTTCTCAGTAGTCTTGGAACAAGGTTTTATGAATCTGTCAACCTTGTTCTTTCTTATCAGGTTTGCTTTGACTATTAAAATTAATCATTTTTTCCATGTACAAGTTTAAATTTAGCTTATGGGTGACTAAATATTCTAATGAGATTTTGCCTGAGATTAGGTTAATTCTGTAAACCAATTTAGAAGGAACTGACATTTTAACAATATTGTCTTCTCACCTGTTTATATATATTTCTCAGTTTAATTAGGTCTTTGAATTCTTCCACCAATGTTTTATAGTATTCAGCAGATGAATACTGAATATATTTTCTTAAATTTATAACTAAGAACTTCAATTTTGGTGTGTTGTGATTGATACTCTTAAAATTTTGATTTCCATTTATTCACTGCTAAATTTGAAATGATGTTTTTTTTACATAATTGACTTTGTATACTTTGATCTGACCAAATATGCTTATTGGCTTAAGGAAATTTTTTTAGATCTCATAATATTTGCTTCTTAGATGACATAGTGGCTGGAAACAGAGAAAGAGACTGGTACTCCTTTCTCTTCAGTCTGTGTTGCTTTTTCTTCCCATGCCTGAATGCCCTGACTGGGACTTCCAGAATTATGTTGAATAGAGGGAAGACATTCTTGCCATTTCTTGCTCTTAGGAGAAAGCATTCAGTCTTTCACCTTTGAATGATTTTTTTTCTTTTTTTTTGTACATGCCCTTTATCAGATTAAGGAAGTTTCTATTATAAGTTTGCAGAGAATTTTTATCATGAAAAGGTGATGAGTTAAGTCAAATTGTTTTTCTGCATCTGTTAGGATGAACATATAATTTTTCCATCTCTGTTAGTATCCTGAATTATATTGATATTCAAATAGTGTAGTGTCAACCACAAACTGGCACTTGCTGTGGATTCTTGCCATCTACCCCTACAAGGATTAAATCATGTGCAGCTGCTGACTTCCAACACCCCATGGAGGAGTTCATGATGGAAAGCAGAAACAAGGCACTCTGTGCTCCAGGAAACTGGTAGGACAGGTCTTTAATAGATATATACAGGAGCTGATTGTATGAGCCCAAATCTTGTGTCTCCTAATATCTAGAGAAGCACTAAAATCTTTCATGGTGACAATTGTTTCTTGTGACCAGCAGAAGTTTCAGGAAACCAGCTGAATCTTTATACAAAAAAATATGTGCTTGCTTGCATGAACTCCCCTTTATGAATATAATCACATATATACTCCCCTTTCCCTTCTTCCTCTTCGGAGCAGCCTCTCAAGAGCTATGTGAGATGCTGTCTCTCTGGCTGCAGTCTTCATATTTGCCCCCAATAAAACTTAACTCACAACTCTCATGTTCTGTGCTTTTTTTAAGTCAACAGTATTGATCTTACATTTCTGGGATAAAAATCAATTGATGAGAATGAATTATAATTTTTTAAATATCAGTGAATGTGATTTAATATTTCATTAAGGGTTTTTGCTCCAATATTGACTTATGATTTTCTTTCCTTCTAATGTCTTTCTCATTTTGCTAACAGGATAATGCCAGCCTTGCAAAGTGAAACAGGAAGTATTCTCTTGTGCTTTATTTTCACTTTTGTAAAATTATCATAGTTTTTTCCTTGATGTTTAGAATAATTTGCTAGTAAAACAAACAGAGCATCAAGTTTTCTGAAGTTTTCAAATTGCAGATTCAATCTTTAAAGGATATATAGACAATTCACATTATCTATTTCTTTTTAAGTAAATTGTGATTTAATTTTCTTTGTAGA